ATCTCACAGCAAGTTTATAAAGGATTCTTTTTCCACTGTGGAGGTTCATTCAGCACCTTGAAAAATACAGAATGGCATTAAATATCATGAGCTGGGATGGTTGTCAGACACAGTCTGAAGGAGAATCAAAAGAGGATCAATCTGTTAAATAGCTTACACTAAAGATGATTAAGTGCCACCATAAAGCTGTTGGCTTTTATTGTCTTCCACGCATTCAAACTAATGTTAAATGCCACTGTAACACATTAGCATATGGATAGAAGTGAAAGAACTAATCATGCATTGAATAATCGTGCATCCTTTCGAATTGTGATCTAAATTTATGACTGAATGAATTATAAAGACAAAAGGGCTTTGTTATAATGTCTGAAAGATCATTGAGAGTGAAATGCCAAAGCTTTATCAGCATTCAGACTACACATCTGAGAATGGTCGAGTTAATCAGTTGAAATTCATTTGTAGTTTGCTATTTTTAGGCATCTGTTGTTACCTAGCAGGGACGATTCAATATCTGGTTGGTTCCCTACAGTTATTAGCCTTGGTGCAGAAAGTGCAAAGGCAGTTTTCTGTATGATTACTAAGTCAACAATAAAAAAAGTGTTTATTTTCTTTCTATCTCTCAATCTCTTCTTTTCTATTTCATTCTTTGTTAAAGATCGCTGGAGAAAAAGCACCTTACAGCATTTCTGTTTCAATCGTGACACTATAATACATTGGCATGCCAGAATACAAGTTTTTCAAATAAACAAACAAAATGCACAAATTTACAGACCAATGGATATTATTTTAAGATTCGTTTAAACACTTAAAAGGGTATGAGCTAATCTCTCAAGAGATCATACAGGCAAACATCAAGGTGATAAAACTAAACTGGCTGGAAAGGCTCTTGACGCAGAAAGCTTTTTCATTTCAGAGTCTGCTCTTTTATGTTTCCTCTCAGCTGCACTGAAATGAATGTGTTTAGAGGGAAAACAACGGAAACGTTTTCTAATTAACAGATGGAATTAATGCGGACGGAACACAGTATAATACAGCGGTAAGGCAAATCCACAATCTACAGCATCACAGGAAAATAAATTATGTCTAAGAGCTGTGAGCTTGCTGTCTGAATTAAATGTGATGGGAGAGGAAGACTGTAGCTGTGAAATAATATATACAAACACTATAAATAAATATATAAAATCTATATGTATGTGTTTATTATCCAAAGCAAACATTTTGACAATATATCTGTTACCTGAGAATTGAACCCACGACCTTAGCATTAATCTCTATAGTCCCATCTAGAACATGTATAAAAAAGCTGCCTCTTACACGGATACATGGGCTGAATTCAGCTCATCAGGAGTTATCCAGAGAAACTGACATTGCTTTGAAACACATTTTGGCTTTCGGGTACCATCTAGCATTTCAGGCCTGAGGGCTCTTGAGAGCGAGCCTCCATACCACCATTCGCCAAAATTCCATCTCCAAACACTTTTCACATTAAAAGTCTAATCTGGATGGACACTGCTTCTCCAAAATGAAGAAACAGGGCTATATTTACACACGGTCTTCACACTTTCAGTCTGTGATGTCCAGCTCCTCGGGGGTCTGGCTGGTCTGGTTGAGTTATTCTACCTGCATCCAGGAGATATATGTGCCCTGTAAGTAAAGGGAACTAATTCCTGGTAGAAGCCTGGCTGTTTGCCTGGCAGAGATAGTCTGATAAGATCAGAGCTACACAGTAGCCTCATTTCTCCATATTTCAGCCGCTGCTGTGAAATTCCCACAAAAGTAAGCTGCCACAGAGTTTCCAGACTGTGGTACTGAGGTCTGACATTGGGTAAAGTTCAGAATAGTTGAGGAGGACTAATTGCCTTCATTAGTTATTCAGTGACCGTTTTGTGCAGAAATTCTCCAAAGCACACTGTGGTCTCTAACAAAATGGGATGCAACCACGTGCGCACCAAGAGTCCCTGGCCCATTCATTATCAAAGCTCAGAGAGAAACCTCATTCAAACAGTTACAGAAACTCCAAACTTCTCATTTTATTAGAAAGCATCTGCCAATTTCCTACAAACAATATGGTGGGGTGAAACAGAGATTTGCTGATCTAATTAACTGCCTGCAGGATAGGAAACACAATGAACATGGTAACTTGTTCTACTTTGCATATTAAACAAGCAAGCATACACTAGAATTCCCCCGTGGAAATGTTATTTTAAATTGATGTAAAGCCAACCATCCCATATTTAATGGCTATACTATATAAAGTATCAAGCTCTGAATATTAATTATTTGATGCAGCAAAAAAAAAAAAAAAGTAAAAATACATAGTTACTCCAGTATAAGCTCATGTTCATTTCGGGAGCCTCAACAGGCACATGAGTCGACAGAGCGACAGGCAGAAGCTCTCTGCTTCACAAGCACAACTGACTACAGGCTTGCTGAACAGCTCTGACACTTGTACCAGCCCTAAAAACAGCATGAACTCCTACACAATCAGTCCATTTCTGCTCCACAAGTCCTTGAGGATGGCATGAGTATCCCTGTTCTGCAGTGTACAAGAATCTAAAATGATCTGCTTATGTAGGAGTATGACAGCATGCTCTCAGAGGCTTTATTCATGAAGACATTCACTGAAATGCTAAATTTAAATTGCCGGCCAAAAGTGGCAAATGTACACACATATGATTCAGTTATAAAAATGACATTTCTTTAAAAAGCAGAGACAAGAATTATTCTTTAAGATCAAACAACCTTTTCGATTACATGCACCTTTGGCATTTGGAACTAACAACTGTATTTACTGCTAATCTTAAACTGTCTCATTCACACAACAACAGTCAGAGGTGGATAAAATACTGTATGATCAAGTAGCCAAAACCAGTGACTCGAATAATGCCTGTAACCATGGTAGTAGTAACAGATGTCAATGGAAAATGTCAAATATCAATGGGTATCATTTCACATATCACCCAAACTTGTGATTAAAATTTGTCTGAGACTCCAGTAATTTTAAACTAGTTTGAAATAGTTGTACAATTCTGGCAAATAAACCTTTTACATATTAAAAGTAAACGATAAACAGTTATTATATTAAATCTATATTATAATCAATTCTACATTATTACTATTTTGCCTAAAAAAAAAAGGAAAAAAATACAATAAATCGTATGAAAAATAAAAGTATGAAAAATGAACATACAGTACATTTTGAGATTTGCTAAAGATTGAATTTAACAGTGTTATTTGAATTAGTTTTTTAATTTTTAATTTTTTAGTTAATTAAGACAGTAAAGATAGTAAAGGTAAAAGTAATGTAAAAACAGAAGAAATGACCAAAAACAATTAAATATCCAATATCTACAGATAATATATATCCAATATCAATTCATAATGTAAAAAAAAAACTATCAACCTAAATAAATAACTACAAAAAAATAAAATACACACATATTGTTCATCCCTAAAATAAATAAAGCACATTTTTCTGTAAATTTAGCCAAAGTCTCTTTATATGGAACCAAGACAGGTATGAATTTCTCAAATACTATGAAGCCCAAACCAAAGAAAAGATTTGAGTCTCTGGAATATAGTCTTAAAAATAATTATTATAATTATAATAATTAATAATTATACTTATTTGTTTTAATATTTGAGTAGCAGCTCATGCTCAAGGAAACAATGAGGCATTAGGTTTATCTAGGAGCCACACTTTTGTTAACCACACTTTCCCTTTATCCATTAGACTATCACCACACCTGGATTGCAAAATTTCCATTTGGGTCAAAAACTTTGAAACCACATGAAATAAGGACACAGTACCTCCGAGGCTGGTATGGGAGCTTTCTCTGGCACAGAGTAAAAGTTTCTGACTGGCTTATAAATCATGGAACAATCATCTGAGACAACCCAAACATTTCTGACATTATAATTTCCTGAGGAGAGGAGTGTCTTATCAGCCTCTGACATGATTCCAGCCTCATCGCCTCCAGACACAGATGCAACAAACCCAAAAAATTATTCCTGAGCGGAAAGATAAACAGGCATCAGCGAGGTAGAACAAACAAGCTATATGGACAACAGAAAGCCTGCATTCAACTAGGGCTGCACGATAAATCGCATGCGATATTTAACACGCATCTTATCAGTAAAGCCGGTTCTGTAATCAGCGGTAAATCTCCATCACGTGCGTGCTTTCACATTGAGCAGCATTAACTACACAGAGCCGTTGTTCACTGACGAGCTGCGCAAAAAAACGCGCGAATATGAACGTGGTTTTGCGCAGCTCATCAGTGAACAACGGCTCTGTGTAGTTAATGCTGCTCAATGTGAAAGCACGCACGTGATGGAGATTTACCGCTGATTACAGAACCAGCACGCACGTGATGGAGATTTACCACTGATTACAGAACCGGCTTTCTGACAAGATGCGCATTAAATATCGCATGCGATTTATCGTGCAGCCCTACATTCAACACAATGAATAATGCTATTTTTAGGCTGACTCAAATCTTCAGTCCAACTCTATCAGAATGCTTGTCATTTGGATGGTCCAGATGGTGAAACTTATCTATAGAGACGAATCCGATGCAATGCAGCCAATACTCCAGTACCTTGTTTGTTACTTTCCTCTCCTCAACACTAAACTGTCATTACCATAATGATTCTCTTGAAGAATGTCTCATCCAGTCAGGGTCACAGTATCATTACATAATCCTTTGCAGCACAGCGGCTTTCACACTACAAGATTATGCTAATGAGCTTATAGCTACATCTGGACCCACAGGCGTGAGTGTAAAACAAACCTAATCTGCAAAACAATAATTGTGCGCTGAATAACCTTCCCTCGATTACTCAAGTTAATTGGAAGATACAGTGCAAAGTATGTGCGTAAAAGCTGATATTCAGCGATTTAGCAAACCACTTCGAGAGCTCGACATTATAGAAGATTGTGGTTAATTAATGATATGGATTGAATAATTAAGTGAGCAAAGCGAGCTGCAGCCAGATACCTTTTTGTCCTTGGTGACATCTTCCTCTTTCTTAGCCATATCTAGGTCAGTGACTCCGCGACTGAACTCGTCCATTGTGCTGTCGGGGAGGGGAATCTCCTCTGCATCTATGTCTGTCTCATCTGCAGCCGGCTTTTCGGCCCCTGTGAGCTCCCGCCCTTTAGAGAGAAACAATTCATCTAGATAAACATTTATTACAGAGATGGAAAGCATGATATAGGGATTAAAGGAAAAATTCACTGAAAAAATATGCCATTGCAAGCTTTTTAAGCATGAGCCTTTTTATAGGTTTATGCCATGCATTGTTTTGTTGTTGAAACATGGAAACTATAGAGTTTAAAGGGTCTGTTTTGCAGTAAGTGAGATTTAAAAAATGTTTTTTTTTTGCCATTATTAACACAGTTATGTACACAAATAGATTTATTCTGGCCAAACACTGATGTTGTCTGTGTAAACTGTGGATCCCCTTTGGGACGGTGGTGTTACTGATATGGGGCCACATGTTATGACCACACCTTCACTCGGTCTGTACAGCGGGTCTGTATTTCTGGAAATGGTTAGTTGACAAGTTGACATGACATGGCAAGCAGTGACTGCCGTGTCCTGTGGTGCGACATGCTATACTACATGTAAAACTATTTTGAACAACATTCTTGTATTGTAATTACTTATCATGCTTTGGATTTTTTTACATTAATTACATTAATTGAGGGACTAAATTATATATTTTTATTTTTCAATGTCACACCGTAGTAAATTGCTATATATAAACAAATAAATCAATTCATTGTCATTAAATTAAAATACAATTTGGAGGGATTATAGCTATTTTAGGGTGACAGTTTAACCCAGATCATAAACTGTGTATTGTGTTACTGAACATAACACAAGTTAAAAAAAGAAAATAGTACTGAGGTCAGAGGCATTTACTCCACACTCAACTACACGTACACAGTAATGAGACACAGTCCTCCACAGATGTTCACTGACATTTCCACATGCTAAAAGGCAATTGTGGAGCAGAAAAAAATTAAATAAAACTCTGTATCTGGCCAGATGGAAAACAAAACAAAACAAAACACACAAAACACAAAACAAAATCCTATTCACAGCATATTGCACAGTGGCCTAGACATTTTATTTTCCCCATTTGCCTAATATAAAATATTAACTAATATCAATATTTATGTGAATTTAATTACATATTTAAAAAAAATAATTAACAAATTTGAAGCAACAAAAATGTGTTAATTATTGGCACAAAGATGCTAAAATATGTTTAAAACTCAAACCACTTTATTTTTCTCTTGCACATCTACAATAAAATAAAAATCGATAAAAATCATGTTTACACGATAATTTCCCTTTTTTTTTTAAAACTTAGACAGCTATATCAAAAACTCCTCTTGCTGGCATAAATATGCTCAAGCAACTTACATAGGATGTTAAAATATGTTTTTAAAACTTCATAAACGTAGGCTGTGATGCACTATACTTATTTGTCGGCAGGTTTTGAAGTAATTTAAGCAGTTACGCGGTCGTTTGGTTGTGAAGTGTCAGTTCTGAGAACGGTTCGCTGTTCCTCCTGTGGAAAGGGGTTATTAAGGTCTCCCTGTCCTAACACTGGGACTGCAGTGGAGCTGTTAGACATAGTGAGTCCCATCCATGTGACACTGCAGCGTGTTGGTGCTGGGGAATACTGTGTGGATTAGATGCAGTGCGTGGGTGAATGAGAGCTCATTTGCATTTGAAAAGAAAACCTGTCTGGAGGGAGCTGTGGGAGGATGATCAGCCTGAACCCATGGCCCATGCACCATGAGATCTGCCCCTCAGACACAAGCAATCATATATAGGTGCTGTACCATGCTGCCTATCAAAGCCCCGGCTCACAAAGACTTCTTCTAACTGACTGTGCTGGATTGCACAAAAATACCTCGAACAACCGCATGGATTTTCCCTTTGCTAAATCAAAGTGTGTCAGAGATCAGCAGCAACATCACTCATCTGTAATCCCATCACACCAAGTTCAAGAGGCACAAACAGACAATCAATTACAGGGAGTTCGAAGAATAAAAACCTGTCGTGAAAGATGACTACACTGACAAAGAAGTGGGAAGAAAAGAGTTAATTACAGTACCTGGTACTCCCGAATCTGTGCATGTCTTGTCAGTGTCACCATCTTCCTGGCCATCTGCGTTCTGCTGGGTGTGCTGCAGGCTAAGTTTATGACAGACCTCAAAAGCCTGACCCACTGTCCTCACTATTCGCATGGCTTGGCTCTGCAGAGAAATGAAAGAGCGCTTAGTATTATTAATGCACTGAAATCAAAGTTCCTGGCTGAAACAAAACTTCTGCAAGTCAAAACTGAAAATGCTAATATTTATCACACAGAATTAATAATACAAGGACTTTTATTAGAAATTAATGGATGGACCCGTGTACTTATATCCTGTACACCTGGATTGTATACTTCCACCTACTGGACATGCATTTCTTCTGGATTTTCTTTAAATCCAGCATAACTATTAGATAACCAAGTAACAATGTCCTTTCATAATAAATTAAGCAAATAAATATGCAAACATGCAAAGAAATAATTACACAAACAAATGAGCAAATAAATATATATGCAAACAAATAAGCAAATAAATATAAATACATAAGTATACATAAAAGCATACGTGAATAAATATGCGAATGAATGAATGAGCAAATTAATAAAGGATAGATAGATATACAGACAGACAGACATAGACAGAAAGACAGTTATTCATAAAGAATAACAATAATAAAAAAGACATGCTGCACTGAAAGGTAAATATTACACAAGTTTTAAGAGCAAAGCCCTCAGTGGTGTGTGCATAATACTCATCGCATTAGCTCAGAATGTCAGATGAGGGCCACAGAGGGGGTCTGTGTTTTCTGGCTCAGAGTGTCCGGAAGAATCTGTAAGAATGCCACCTTTTTTCTTTTTTTTGGATGGTTTGCAATGTTGGATGCCTATCTTTTTTCGCAACTGAAAGTTACAGTCAAAATCTGACACTAACTGAGGGAAATTTTTTTGTTATGACTCATACCTTTTCATTTGATAAATCATTACAGCTTTTGATTTCCTTCCCACACTTTTAACCAGATGGTATGCTGCTGTTAGCCAGCAAATATGGAAAACAGGAATGCTGACAACCATATAAGCAGACAATCAAACGAAACTAGGAATTTCAAAGTTTAACATCAATTTAAATGTTATTAAAACTTAAAAATGACCTAAAGCTTTGAGCATACCATAGTTTGTCAAAAAAGCAATGCAGTAACATCACATTAAAAGAGGTATGGAAAGACATTTAATTGGAAACCGATGGCATTTTTTTCAACTAACTTTCAGTTTTCCATGGAATAAGTCTCTATTTTGAGTGCCATGTTGTGTAAATTGTTAGTTGTGACCATCCATTAAGTGTTAAAAAAAAACTCAAGTTACATTTCAACACTGGATACAACCATCAGTCTGCAGACTCCGTAAGACTACTGAACAAAAACTAGCTATTCTACTGAAGATCTGTTATCAGTATTTTGATAGGTGATAGCGAAAAATGGAACGACAACATTATTTCAGCTAAACTGTTTGAGTCTGTAGTCAGTACAAAGTGAAATCATCAGTGTCAATCTATTCCCAGTTTATTGAGCGAACACTTGAGCAGTTGATGTACAATTACCCAGAGCAGCTCTGTATTGCTCGGTCTGTAATGAACAGTGATGCCGGGGTGAAATGGGCCAGACGGAGCTTTCAACTCAAATGAGCTTCTTTCTGACTTCTTTCTAAAGAATCTTTGTTGAATAAAGAATACTTTTTTCTTGATTGCCTTTCGACATGGCCAAATTTCTGCAGTATAATCTATAGCTATTGACGAGCCACATTTTTTATGAGAGAAACATGGTTATATTGAGTCCATGTGTCAGGCTTTCATAACTGTTTTCAATGCTACATAGTTTTTAATATTGTAATCTCATACTGTAATCTCATTACAGTGTGCTCATTTTGTATGCTATTTGCAATTTCACATCTAAAGAAGAATGAGGCATGAAACAATACAAAATCAGGTTATTGATAACTGGAAAGTTTGTAGTATTCAGATTAGTGTCTGTTATGTCTCTCGCAGCCTTTTATGTGAAAGATCTGCTCAGGCTTACAAAACAAACAATACACAGACTAGTTTAATTGAAAAAAAAAAAATTATGTTAATTTGCATTTAGGTCTTAACTTTACTAATTTTCTGATACGTAAATCAGGTACAAGGCACGCTTTAAAAATGTTTGTTAATTCAACAGAAAAAATTAAAGTGAAAATGCTACCATAAGAACCTGTTAATTTGTAAGTTACCACACCATCTGTGGTAGTTTTTATTTTCTCTCATCTGTGCCAAAAACTCATTTGGGGTGGGGGGGGAAGAAAAAAATTAATTGTAGAAAAAAAACAAAACAATATTGCAATAATACAGGAAACCGTAACTCTTTACAATAAGGTTAACAAATGGTTGTATTAAACATACTAATTTATATTACTGATAAATTATTTGTGTGAGTGACCCTGTGAATCCACATGTATTATTATGGTGGTTATCAGTACATTTTAGGGTAAAACACAGTTTTTGCCATCCTGTACTTAATGCAGTCATACTGTATTTGTCCAAATACAGTCCGCATATGCCTATGCCTATTATATTTGACGTCTTGTATTTTCACATACACCTAGTACAGTCTGTTCTCAAGCCCTTAGCACTCTGAGATCATGGTGTATACAAACTCCTGTGATAATGTGATGTGTCATAGTGACAACTATTGCCTAGCACGAATTCCTCTCTATATTTACAGACTGTGTAGGCACCAATTCTGGAAAGAAAAAAAAAAAACGTATTTTCCCTCTGAAAAAATCTTATTTTGATTCTTGTGACATTGTAGATTAATTGCCAATATTAAAAATAAATATTTAAACCAGTCAAGCAGATTAAAACCAGATTCAGATGTCAAATCCTTCTCAGAGGTGGTGGGCGTCTTTAAACAGTTATTTAGCTTTCAAATTTGCCTCATTCAAATCCAGTGCAGAAGCTTGAAAGAGATGAGAATTCGACAGCTTTATGAACTAAAAGCATGCCCTGTCAGTATATCATCTACATGCGCCACTGCTGAATCATTGTACTGCTCTGCATGCTAGACTGACTGAGAAGAAAAATACAGCCATTCTGAAAAGTGCACTTTAGTTTCATGGCCAAGGGCTGCTGTTCCCTTTTTTCTGATGGGTTTTTTCTATATGCCCTGGAGTTAAATGAAAGAAGAGTGCTGAAGAGGGAAGGAACTGTCAGAAGACTTCATTGGCTTGGAGCTTTAATGACAGGATTCCATTGTCCAATGAAAACCATCAGTACTCAATGTCCTGACTAGAAGACACGCTCAAGAGATGCCTACCTTTTTCTTTGATTTGAAGACGTTACATCGAAACACATTGCTCTGTCCATCTCTCACTATATAACTGAAGATCTTCAGATCTTGAGAGTCGTGTGATACGTAGAATATCCTGTAAAAAAAAAAAAAAAAAAAAATTTATAATCTAACGTGTGCAGTACTGTCAAGGACAGTAGATTCCATTGAGATTTATAATCTAACGTGTGCAGTACTGTCAAGGACAGTAGATTCCATTGGAGTGAAAAAGAGAAAAATGCCTTTATTCCTGCATTTGCTTCCTTTTTCTTGCAATATTTTGGTCCAAACCACCACCGTGTACCCTTTTATCAGGTATCCATTAATGTTGTGTGGAAAGGACATTTAGAAATGACCTTTGGCTGTGTGTTTTTTTGGGCATCGAAACAAAAATGGTGCTTGAATTTTAGCAAAAAAAGCAGCAACAACATGAGTCAATGAAGCACATTCAGTTCTTGTGACACTGTGTGAGTGCATTTACCCCAATGCAAACAGGACATGTAGCAAGGAACAAGTAGCAATGCAGATCAGAGAGTAAAACACTACATAAACCAAAAGATAAATAATTGACACCATGCAAATCCAGATCAATTTCCTCCACGAGAGTAGAGGATTTTCTTCCGAGCTTGATAAAATGACAAAGCAGCTGTCACAAAGCACTGAGGAAAACCCTGAGCAGAAAAATCGGAAAGTCTCATCGCAGATGAATAAAACGCATCAATGTCAAATGCAACTTCTTTCACGCACATCCACAGAGAACCTCACATGTAAAACTGCCAAAGAAATGATAGACAAATAGCTAGATTGCAAGACAACATGACACATTCACCAAGAAGAAGCAAGCTGGTTTGGTGAGTGCCGGCTTGATGGGGGTATTTTGTATTTTGCCATTCACTAAACCTTGACAGACAAAGAAAAAATAAAAAAATAAATATATAAAAATCTTAGATTATTTCAGTGGGTTTGTCAGAGAATGAATAACTGGCAGCAGGAAGCAGAAATGCCTAAATCGACACGGTGCTTTAAAGCTATTTAAAAGCGATGGAAAGCGAGGAAAAGAGGGAAAATTCAAACGAACTAAAAACGAACAATTGCTTTACGCCAAATTGCCGCTATTTGAAAGTGAAAGTAAAATGCGCACGCCGCTTTTGCAAGCTATTTAAAAGTGAGGAAAGGAGGAAACGCCCCTGCCCCCACGGTGATACCGGTATTATCGGTGTTGTCACACGTCGATTAACTGGTGGGAAAATTTCCTCACCGTCACAACCCTACATCAAAACATAATTCTCACTGAGATTATAAAAATCACAGATCTGTGACAGTGTCCAAAAACATTCACCAGATGCTTGGGTACATAGTTCTGCAGTCAGATCATCAGAATGTGTAAAAATGGTCCTCAATTTTGGTCCTCAATCTACTTAATGAAAAATAAATGGAAAATGACATATTTGTTAGTAGATGATCCTGATTAAAATGACCCCAAACACAATACAGTGCATTAATTGCATGCTAACTTGCCCTTAAAAAAAACAAACAAAAAAACTATATTGCATGGTCTCAAAGAAAAAATGGTAAGGCAAATGTATAATAAATTATTGATTACAATTATGTGTTGTAATTTCATCATCGTCACCTGATATCAGTATACATTTCCCAATTATCTTTGAATAATTCAGTCATGATATACATCACACACCTCTAATTATCTGAGACATTAGAAATCAAATACTATATTGATCTCACCACTGAAGAGCAAGAGCAGGTTGACCCTTTGTGATAAAAGCCTGACAGTAGGCCTGTCGCAATAATCAATATATCGACTTATCGTGCAATATATGTATATGACCTCAATAATTTTTGGTGACGCAATATATCGCCCATTATATTTACTTAAAAATGAATGTCACCGTGTTTTTTTACATTCCACTTGCGCCTGTGTCTTTTGCAGCTTCTTATACATAACGTGGTATAGTCATGAGGTGCTAGTTCAAATTTTAAAAAATGCTTCTACAAAAAAAAGTTTCATCTGAAGATATGGCCTTGTTTAAGGATCTGTGCCTTTTTGCATACGGACACCTGACTGCTAAGTAGTGATTGTGTTTTTCAGGAATAGTGTGCACCCTTAATTTACAGAGAAAAGAAGGTCAGGAAAAAAATCTGTAGATGGAAAAATCTACAGATTCCAATTTTTTTTGTACTTGTTACTTTGCATTTTTTGTTAGAAAATGTTTATTTACTATTTATTCAAGTTTTTTAAGGTATCTAATATTTTGATACTTAATTTCCATGATCTAAATATTCTTAAAAATTAAAAGTTTGTTGTCATTTGGAAGTGTGTAGGCCTTCTTGCATTATTATGCTGTTACATTATGATTATATATTCAGTGGCATAAAATGGTCTTTAAAATGACAATAATATCGCTTATCGCAATTATTTCTGGGGCAATATATCGCACAACCAAAAGTTGTTATCGTGACAGGCCTACCTAACAGTGAGGAAATCTGTTTCTAAAAGCTCACAAACATCCTGAGCTGTTGTTGTATTAGCTTGGGAAATATTTATTAATGATCGCTATAGTCTTTATTTGGACAAATGCAGAATTGATATGGACCCAACATTAACACTACTAAGAATGTCAGCATGTTACATGTCAGAGCTTGCTGATACAAGATTGCAGAGATGCTAAAGGGATCGAATAGACCCTGTAAGGAAGATGTACCTAAAGAACAATCATCTCAACTATATTAACCCACTAGTCTGCTCAGGGGTGCTGTACAGATGGGTGAAGAAAAACCCCAATCATTAAGTGAATTCTCCTCGTTGCTGTTGATATTTCAGGGAGACATGCCGCATCAGCGATTTGCACAAATGACACATGCTGCTTAAGAGCTTTTTCCCACGCCACTTTAATTCATCAAGTCTGAAAGCAGAATGAAGAGCTGAAATATCTGCTGAGTATATGTAATGCACACCACATCACCCATCATAATAGAAAGAGTGATTTTACTCCACAACCATTACGTAGTCTTATTTAACTGGTTGCTCTGCTTGAGAAATGTCTAATTAAGAATATAATGAGCATATCATATCTACTAGAAGGCAAAGTGCTGGTTTGCTCATTTCTGAGATATATAAGATGCCAGTTCTAATCAATGCTATTTCTACATTCTAGGCAAGCGTGCCCATTTAACACGGGCAGAATAGGCTAAAGTGATGATAAATTAGCATTAAGATCTCAAAGCATTCATCCTGATTTAATGAAAAAATCAATAGTGATGACTTTTAGGGATGCCTGGATTGTCTAAAAATTGTTTTTCAAGGTCCCTGAAAAGAGTCATATGCAGGAGCAGGACATTGCACATTTGTACTTTTTCAGGTATCACCTGAATTATCATTGTTACTCATAACTGCTAACCTAAGTAGAACCTAAGAGCATTTTTGCTGCAGTGCCCGTGGAGCAGTTGGGGGTCTCACCTCAGTCGTGGTATTGAGGGTGGAAGAGAGCACTGGTCATTCACTCCCCCCACCTACAATCCCTGCCAGTACCGAGACTTGAACCCGCGACCTTTGGGTTACAAGTCAGACTCTCTAACCATTAGGCCAATACTGCCCCCACAGATCTAGAAACACCCTAGTAACCACCCAAAACACCTTAGCAATCAAAGAAACGCCTCAGCAACTATTCACGCAATTTCAGCTACCCACAAAATAGCATGACAGCCACCTAAAAACCACCAACCACCTTTAACACCCTAACATTGTGAGTTTTGTACAATAAATGTAAATTAAAGGCATAAAACCGACGGACCAATTCTTCAAAATGTTCGCCATTCGGCATGTATTGAAGTAACAAATCTGCCTACATCACTTCCAAATACCCCTGCCCCTCTGGTGAATTTTCAATATGTTTCTGCACAGGCAAGTGCAGTCATGAGGACTGTATAGAGGAGCCATGATTTCCTCTGCACTTTACTACTAATGAGAGATCTGAATTATTGATGCCTCTTATTATATCTCTGTTAGTAACAGCAGGCCAGTTCTCCCTGCTCCTGATGCCAAGTTTATGCTCTGGGTGACAATAAAGATGCACAAATTTCACCGTTGCTCTTCAGAAGGGGGGCAATAACAGGCAATCTCACACCTTCAGAGCTGACATGGCCCCAATCTCATCATCTTTATAGAGAGTCCCCATACACACATGATTCAGTCTCTTCAGCTTGCAGTCAAACACACTCACAGAAGCTGTTAAATGCCTCCTGGGGTTGCTGCCCCTGGTTTAGCAGGCTGTTGGAAAGCAAAAATCATTATAATCACTTAACTAGGCACAAATTACAGTCAAACTCGAGCGTTATCTTCATGGAAATTATTTAGTTTTAAATTATACTGTTTTTTCATTCATTGTACTCAACCAACTCGAAATGTTTTAAAACGAAATGCCTCCATACAAGAGGGTCAATAGACCCCAATCGTTTACTGGTTTCAGGTATGCCAGATAAAATTAAATATTGTCCTGACATGTCAGCTGCCTCATCCAATGAGTCAGGGGATTGCATATGGGCATGTCAAGTTCAAGCAGCAAATTTTGGTGAAGATGATTAATGTGTTTTGATTAGGCTTTCATGCGATTCTGCAATTGCCGAGGACACACAGCCAAACAGGATTTTAAACCGCACATTCATACTGTTACCATCAGCAGCGGTTACATAAGGAACAACTGCGTTGCTAAAAGGCTTTGCAGAGAACAAACACTTCTAAGCACTTTCTCCTGTAGCTTATTGGCTGCCGCTCTGATTACCATACAATATTTGCATTTCCTGCAGAGCTACAGAAATGAAAATCACAGAAGAACATGTCATTTTAATTTTCACAACAACAAGCTGGGTGTCCTTCAGCCACACACTGACCGAACTCACTTTCTACTGTGACTTTAAAAAGCCTGAATTACATGACATCCAAACAGATTAATTTCTCAGGGCTTTCTCTAGTTAATATGTAGTTAATACACAATTGGTATTACAGTAATCTCTATGTGAAATGTCACCATGTTCTTGCAAATACAAAGTGCATGTTGGTTCTATTGGCCTAATTCCTATGAT